AAAAAAAAATCTTTCTGCGCTCATTAGGAATCATTTCATTCAACACAATGTTAGGCTACAATGCTCTGAATCCACTCTGAATATCCCACGGCCCAAACACATTTAGTATTTTTGTACCTGTTGATTAAGTCATCATTGTCATCACTCTCCATTTCGTCCTCGATGGCGGCCTGCAGGTCCCCTATCCTCTTAAAGGCCAGTTTGAGATCCACTTGTAAGCTCTGATTTGCTGCCTCTAAGCTCTCAATGTCCATTTCCTGGTGAATGGATCGTAAAGAAGTCCTTTCCTCTTCGGTTCAGAGTGCAATCATTTTATCTCATAACGGCCGGCACCTACCGATTCGTGTTTCTTTCGGCTCGCCTCAGCCTCCTTCTTGGACACGTCAGCCATTTCTTCTTTCATGTCCCTTATTTGTCTCTGCAGGCGTTTGTTCTGCTCCTTCTCCCTGTTCTCTGCAGCAATGTGTTGGTTTCGTTCCTCTGACATCTTCTCAAGATTCTCCTTTAGTCGACCCACCAGGATCTAAGGGGGAAGTGGGAGATTCGGTTGGGTCGAGCTGTCGGTTAAGTAGAGTCGCAGTTAAGCAAACCGGCGATAAAAGCCGAGCAGTGACGATCAAAACTGAACGTTATATTATCCTTGATACGGCTCATGCGCTGGATCGCGTTGGATTTTGCGGATGCGCCTAATGTCACGAGTGCTCTTGATGTCTCCCTCTTGATACATACAAAATGAAAATGTCAGGTCGGATTTGTATATTCTCTGAAGGATGTTCTTTTACATTGAAGAGACACTAGGATTGTCTGACCTCCAAACGTTTGATCTGCGTCCTCTCATACTCCAATTTGGTTTCCAGCTCACGGATCTTGGCCTCTTGACGGCTCACAAGAGACTTTTCCACCATGGATTGTTCCTGAAACTCCAGCTGACTCTGCAGCGAGTGAAGCTGTGCGAAGGACACAAAGACACACACTTTTATAACTGCAACCGCCACCCCCCACGTGCACACACACTCAGTCAAATACACAAAACACTCTCAATGCTAATTCTTGATCTTGGCTTTGCTGTTTCAAATGAGGGCTGGAGAATTCTCAAATATTGTGTATGTACATTGAATTTATGTTACCCTCGAATTAAATGTGTGCGTAATGAGTTGGAGATAAACCCAATCTACTGCAAGTGGTGCTAGAAGAGCTTGGAGTTAAGTCGAACACAAAAGTCACGATAATGAAGTCAATGCCGAGAGTCTAAATGCGAAATCTAAAGCTTTAGCAGAATACTGAACAGTCAAACACAAAGGACAAAATCTAGAGCTTTTGCACAATAGTCGAGCTACTTTCTTCCTCAGCCTGAACGTTTAACAGTGATGACACAAATGACGCACTGAAGCAACGGTATGCAGGACGATGAGATGAAATTTCTCAAATTTAGTTTAAAGTTTGAAAACTGATCGGAGGCACAATTATGATTCTACTAAAAGTCTTTAACATTAATGCACGTCAACTCTGAGCCTGGATATTTACATGACAGACTGCACAGTCATCGAATCAGCCAGCCCAGAATAGAAAGGCCCACATTCAATCATGTGGTTGCTTCATATCTGCAAAATCAAACCATTCAATCACAAA